ACTCAAGTTGAAGTACAAAAGTTCAAGATGTTAACAAATTCATTATGTAATAGATGGAAAATATTGAAGTACAGTTAACAATTTCGAATTTCAAAGTACAGCATTTTCTATTGATTGCTTTTATGAAAGCAATGTCTGTAATATTCACATTCATAGTTTTGCGGATCGAAGTTTGATGGCCTTAACGAACAAGAAACAACGAAATTAGAATTATAGAAGAATAAATTCAACAACAACAAAAAGTATCAAGTATCAACGCAATGTTTGAGGTTATGTTTAAAAAAACTTTACAATGATTTCATTCATGATGTTTATTTTAAGAATGCAAAGTTTGGTTATTAAAGTCATAAAACATTTTTAAATTAATGGTGAAATAATCATAAACATAAATAAAATTTTACGATCTTACCTTTAAAATTCATGCATGCAGTCGAATTCTGGACACAAATTTAACGGGTTCCTTTCCCAAAACATGAAAAAGTCTTATCTTCATCTGTCGATTTTTTGAAGACCATATACGCAAAAACGTTGTTTTCATATAAACAGAAAGGGATTCTGATGATTTTTTTTTTAAAAAAACCTCATTGAAAGAAACCGAAATTTTGAGAAGGAAATTTGACTGGTAACAACACTCTTAAGTTTTTTTTTTTTAACCTTGAGTACTATCTTAGATGAAGTATTAAAGTTGTAGTTCATTTACGTCAAAATAGAGCTGCACAATGGGCTAATGGCGACGGTCGGGAAAACATCCCTGAGGATGATCCGAACACATGCCATTACAATTTTGATCCTCTGCAGAGGGGATGGCACCCCCGCTTCGGTAGCCTGACGACCTGCACGCGAAGTCTAGCATTTTACGGTAGAATAGTTTAACGAGGAGCAATACCGCACACCCTCGGTCCCTACACTGACTAATACAAGTGATCACTGACCCACACACTGATCGCATCCAGTGATGCTTGACTTCGGTGATCTGCTGGGAACCGTGTCTTAACGATCAGTCCACATCGGGACTTGAAAAAGTTGCATAATACAAGTTAGAGAAGAATAATAGCCAAGAATAGAATTCTGGTTTAGAGCGAAATTCGAACCCTCTACGGAACGACGATACGCCTCAACTGGAGACCCCCAAAATCATGCAACAGATAGCGTGAAAGTTAACAAATTGAAATAGTGGCTCAGGGTATTGTGGAGACTCAGGGATAGAGCGCTCGCTTCCCAATGAGGTGACCCTGGGATCCTAGCAATAGCTGGTCGACTCGAATTCCGCACCCGGTTCGCACGGACCACAGTGCTGACGTATAATATCCTCAGTGGTAGGCAGATCATGGGTTAGATTCCCCTTGCCGTCAAGCTGTGGAAGATTAGTGGTTTTTTTCTCCGTGTAGCGCAAATGCGGGTTAGTTCTCTTCTCTTCTGGATTGGATTCCGGCTACAGAGATGAACATTAGTTGCTTTAAACGCTAAATTGGGTCGGGTATTCACCGACGCTTAAAAAATTAAAGTAGTAGAACCGGAGTAGCTCAAGGGATAGAGCACTCGCCTACCAATAAATTGATCTTGGTTCGAATTCCAGCGATGGCTCACACCGACCACAGTGCTGACGTAAAAGGTAGCGGGTTCAAACCCCATCATAATGTTGTAGGTATCATTTCATTCTCTAACATACGCTATCTTCAACTTTACAAAGGCTTTAAGTTGAACTTTGTAATGAGTTCACATACCTGCACAGTAACAATAAATAAATGAAATTTTGGCAGAACTTGATTTCATGTATGGAAAAATATGTAGTAGACTAATGAAGTATTAATTTAAAATTATTGTTAAAAAAAACGCTCAATAAATAACAAAATCCTATTTCAGTGAGTTCAAATTAGAGCTGGGAAAACGAATCATCTAAGTGATTCGAATCAATAGAATCAGTTCACTTTGGTGATTCGAATCAGTACCAACTTAAGTTCATATATGCTTATCACTTAGTGTTTTAAAATGCGTAGTTTTCTATAAATTGTTTTATCTTAAAAATGAACATAAAATCAATACCAAGGAAAGATAATACAAAGCATATTTTCTTGGTATTGATTTTATGTTCATTTTTATTTTAAAAAAAAAGATGAAATGCATTTGATTTTTATAGGATTTATTTTTCACAATTTTAATCTATATGTCACCTCTAAGACAACGAAAAAATCGTTTGAACGATGAAAATATATTAAAATACTTGGTTTTACTTCATTAGCTTTTACCAAAGGTGTGTGCTGAATTCAGTCATTTATTACCATATGTTAAACACTATTTAATTACTTTTTCTTTAAGTATGTATGAAAGTCCAAAACGATATTTTCACTAAATTGTACACTTTTTAGTTTTAATTGATTAAAGTTCGCTTTGGAAAAAAATTTAAACTCGCCTTATATTAATTATCGGTTGTAAAGCTGTGCAAAGTTAAGTAGCGTTTTATTGAAGAAAATTTAAATGAAAGTTAAGGCTGAATTATTGGCTAAATACAAAGCATTTCAACAGAGATAAGTTAAAATATTGGCTTTTATTTGTAGCAGTTAAAACTTTTTTATGTTACAGCAAATGGACGAAATATGGTCCACTTCCGAGAATATCTAAGTCCAATTTACTAGATTCTGGGAGACAAACTTTAGGTGTTAAAAATGTAATTTTGCTACACTCAATTGACATTTTTATTTTGCATTTTGTTTCAACTTTTCTTACAAGGGATGGAAAATTAACTTTGAGTTGAAACTTTTCATGAGTACTCACCTCTTAAAAAGAAATAATAAAGCAAACGAGCTAATTTTGAGAAAAACTCAGTTTTTAAGAATTCTACATATGCAGGATATCTGCTACATTTTATATTTTCAAATTCATGACTTCACGAAGTTACTATTTTCTCCTGGACAAAAACAGAACAATAAATTTAAAAAGCATTATAATAACATTAATTGAAATGATAGGTATAACCAAAACAGTTATACTCTGCATCTTCATATTTATAGATTTTAAATTTAAAAAACATAGTAAAGAAAAAGTTGAAACAATAAAATAAGTTTAAAAAAAATACAAAAGCAAATAATTCTTTTTTTTTCCTGCAGAATTATATTCTAAAGATACTTTTTTTGTTCATCGGAAAGGAAAGAAATATTTCTGATTTTTCTGTTCTCATTTCAGAGTTTAAAAAAATTCGCCAATGACTGGTTTGCTTCAGCTAGAATTTTAAACTGATGAAATAAAAATAATAAATAACAAAAATTCTGAAATCACAGAAATTTAAAAGATAATTCGCTCTAGAAATGATATTTTATCTTTCATTTCTTTTTTTATAAGAACACCATAGTTTTTAAAGAACATGATAAAAACATTTTATATTTCAATAAAATATGAATGAGGGATTGAGGACTTAAAGGTCACAGTATTCTATATCTACTTAGCAAACTCAAGTGATATTTTTATACACTGCATGATACTTGGTGCTATAAATATAACTAAACTTAAGATTTAGAAAGTTTCCTATTATTAAAATTACTCCTTTCCCCCCTTAAGTCACAAAAATTATTATAATTATTTTTTTAATAAATCTAGAGAGCACAAATATCTGCTTGAGCAGTAATAATTTCAGATAATACAAAAATTCCAAATTGATTTTATAATCAGTACTAAATTTTAGACTACTAAAATTTTTCTAAAAAAAAATTTACTTTAAAGTTACTTTTAAATTACTAAAAGAATTTTATGAAAAAACAAATCTGATTTGAAGTAGCTTAGAACCAACACCCACATCAATTAAACTATTTTAACTGAAAACTGCTCAATACAACCATTTTAATTGAAAATTTTTCATCGATTTGAGTCAAATTTAATATAGATAAATATTGTTTATATTTTTTGAAGAGAGGGCTAACATCAGCAAATAACTTTAAGATAACTATAAGAATTAAACTTTCAAAGTATATCAATTTCAGTAATAAATAACAAAAACAACCCACAAACTAGGTTGGTGTTGTTGCTTTTTGCATTGAATATTGTTGTATAAGACGTCTAAGTGCAATAGGCATTTTTTTTCAAACTGCCATTCATACTGCCTTTGAACTGTCAACTTATTTTGATGATTTGGGTACATAAATTGACAATTTTTCTTACTGCAGAAATCAAATGCTTAGTACAAAATAAAATATACTTAGTAGTTAAAAACTGATATTTTGAATTACAAGCATAAAAATTTTGAAGTTTTGTAGCCACTGCATATTTGCTTCAAGTGGCTGACACTCAGCGTGGCAGTGGTAAAGTTCGCTTCTAGTGGAGCATTATTTTCTAAAAAAATAAATCATCTATATAAGTATATTGATATATGTCGTCTATATAAGTATACATAAGTATATCTATGTAAAATAAATATATCTATATAAAATTCAGGTTTGACAAGGAGATGAATTTGAAATAAACTTCTCCCAATATATATTTGGGTATAACAATACAATGCATTAAATAAATAAAAAATTACGGAGTAATACCCGGGCATTTACTTAGAAAATCAACTATAAAAGAACAACAAAAAATTACTTTTGAAAAATGGAATTTTATTGAAAAATCAGTGTGGGGAAGTTGTTCTCTGTTTACCTAATCCACTATACCCCGGTCTATATGCGAAATAATGACAGAAATTTAGTAGACTGTAATAGAAAAATAGACAGTACAAATTGAAGAAAACTGATAAACTTTTAGCATAAATTTAATTTAATAATGCCAACACATTAAAAGTCATTTTGGAACATAAAAATACAGATATATTTAACTGAAATAAGTAGAATTTAATTAATTTAAATTAGATATCATTGAAGTGTATATAAAAACTTATAAGTCCATAAAATTAAATATCAGAACCACCAAAACATTTCTCTGTGATAGACAATAACAAATAATTATCACAAATGTGTTAGATTTAATTGCACAGTAAAATATCAGGGATTGCAACTGCTCCGCTTTTTGCAAAAGTTTTAATTAATTGGGTAACGAATTCAATAGTAAAATTTGTAGAATAAGAATAGTTATTCCCACTCTTTATAAGTATCACCATGATATAACTGCAATAAAGTTGCTTTTCATATGATACTTTGAATTTTAGATACGACCTGGTGGAAAAATTACAGGGTGCAGGCACAAATTTTAGAACAAAAAATAAACATCTCTAAAGCACTTTTCAAGCACTGAAAAAATATTCTTAAACTCTATATTTAAAAAATATATATAAGGGGATATTTGGGGATCTGTCACGTCAACTACAATTGCCATGGTGCCAAATAGATTTTAAACTTGCAAAATTTCTTTTAAAAAAAATAGATGTTTGCCCAGGGATGGCGACGAGTTAAACCATTCAAGTTGGTCCCTTCCTGTGATGTTTTTTTTGTAAATTACTCGCGGGTTGCTGCCCGGAAGTTGCCAAGAACTGGCGATTATTCTGCCACAGGTCACGATACAGAAATCTCCTCAAATATAATTAGGATATGAGCACTAATAAAAAACATTTCCTTCCTATTATTGAAAGTTTATATTAGATATATATATGAAAATATATATATGTGAATATATATATAATGAACGTTTAATAATAGGAAGATAAATTTTCTTATTAATGTGCATATCCTAATAATATAATCATAGTGGTTGAATGAATTGTGAAAACATTGAGTAGAAACATTGTATGAAAACAACACTTTTTGAATAATTCGTAGCTGAAACATACATGATCAAAAAAATCTCATTTTGAAAAAGGGAACATTAAGGACTTTCTTAAAAACACGCAATGGAAAAAAGCACCTTTAAGGGCTTTAAAAAAATAAGCACCTTTAAAGAAAAGCTATGCACCCTGAATAATTCAATAACTTAAATTTAATACCTAGGAAATATTTCTTTTTTACAAAGCGGAGCAAGTTGGGCATCTCTGAAATATTAAAAATGAACCAAGGTCAAAAAAAAATCAACCGGGATAACAAACAAAATGAAAAAAAAAGATACACATACATTTGTTCAGCTAAAAAAGGCAAACTTCCATCAATCAAAAATACATAACATGAAGCTACTCTGATGCATAAATAATATATATATATATATACACTGACAAAAAAAATGGAAGTATAAACATATCACTATTATCACAGATAGTCTATATACATAAAAACAGTTGTTCCTTGTGAAGGAATTTAAAAAAAAAATATCAACTTATTTCAGAATACAGCAAGGTGTGAATAAAAGAAAAAGTTTATTTAATGCAATGGCAGTCTTTGAACAGTCTCAGCTTTGAACTTTTTTGTGATCACAAAATTTTTAACTACATAAATAAAAAGTCGATCAGTCTTTAATACTACTACATAATGGCCCTTTTATACATTTTAAAACATCACTGAAAAGGGCCTATCTTGATGTAGGAATAAAAATTATTCTTTCCTAAGTGAATATACATTAACTGCCCTTGTTTTAAAAAATTAAGTTAAATCAGTGTCCGAGAAATAAAGACGGTGATAGTAAATCTCTCGAGACAAGTCCGTTTTGAACACAGGAGAAAGAACAGAACTAGATTTCCATATCTTCCACCTCCCTCAAGAGGCGTATGAGGTTATCTAAACCTAACAAATAACCAGTGTCTGGTCCATTGTGGATGGTCGTATCACCATCGTAACCTTCGTACGTGGTGTGCGCAAAATCGATCATGCGCACGTCGACATCCGGCCCGTGGGACTCTTTGCACTTCTTGTTTTCGGCAGACTGCCTGCGCCACGACAGAGAGGCGCTGGCAGAAGTAGAATCGTTGCTGCTCTCGAGCGAAGATTCGTCGTCCATCATGTCCTCGAAGCAGGAGCTTTCACTCTCGCAGGGAATGAAGAAGGGGTGCTTATTTTTTTTAACACAGCCTTCGTATAGTATCAAAAGAGAACTGGAATAGAAGCGGAAAGTTTGTTGCTTTTCGACGGCCTCTCTTAATTCTATCAGGTACTCCAATACCCTATCAATCACAGAGGAATTTAAATACAGACCGTTGTGGAAAAATTGGTGCAGAGCTTTACGGACACCACTTTCGTCTAATGTTCGACCGTAGTATTTGTCTTTCCACAGATATCCTTCGTATTTAGCTTGATAGACCTGTTTCATAAAATAATGGAATAATTAGACATATCTGAATGTAAAATATATTAAATATTTAAAAAGATTTAATTGCAAATTATACAAATTAGTTTTTGAAAATAAAACTATTTTTTTAATTGGATAAATATTACAAAAGTATGTTTTGGAAATTTCAAAATCCTCCTTGCTAGAAGAAGAAAAAAAAGCAAATCACAACCTTTTCCTATGCTTAAATACAAAGGTTGTAACAACCACCTCCCCAGGTTTTTTGTCTAAACTTTGAATTCTACTGTAGTAATATAATATTTAAAATTTAATTCAAATAATAAATGTAATTTTTATCTTATTAATTCTTTAGGAGTATGTTTTGCTTTCTTACTGTGCTCAAAATTATTCGAAGAAAAAAAAAACCTTTTTTAAAAATTTTTTTCTTAAATTCCAACTTTTATTCTAAATTTTAAAATTTTCTCAATGTAGTTTTTTGTGACATTATTTTTTATAATTTCATTTAAGAAAATTTTGAAAATAAAAGGATCTTAAATATCTTACATAAAAGCATTGCTCACCCTTCCCTTGTCACCAAAAATTAGTCAGCAAAAACGACCTACCCCGTTAGGAGTTTACCTGATATTTGAACGGTCCCTAAATCACATTAAAAAAAAAAAATTCTTCTTTTTCTCATAACCAGAGTCCAACAGTAATTTTTAACAAAATTATAATTTTTAAATTTATGCAATATAAATATATAACTCTTTCTTACTCAAACACTGAAATTAAATAAAAAAATAATATAAATTATTTATTTACTCTTTTTACACTGAAAAGCACTTTTTTGATAGTATTATAAATTCTAATTCCCAAAATTAAATATATACATAAAAACACTGTCTGTAAAAAGAAGTCAAAATTTGGTTTGAAACCAAATTTAAAAATCTCATAACTCTGCAAACTTATTCAAAGGAATTTTATTTAAAAAAGAAGTACATTTAAAAGTTAAAAAACAAGTTTTTAAAAAAATTTCAAGAGTTTTTTCCTGTTCCGAAAAAGAAAGGTCAAAATTGAAAAATATGATTAAATCGGATACTTAAAGAAATGTTTTGCATCTTAAAACATGTTCACAAACTCATTGTTGGGTGCTTGCTAGCTGTTAGACTACATGTTTATTACAAATTATGAGGATTTTTCTTTAAAGTACTGAAACAGTTAAAGGGTATGGTTATTGTTGTTAAGATAGAAAATAACTTTGACTCTTTAATGTAACCACTATAATTGTGAAGTTTTTAAAAAAAATTGTATTATTAAAATCACTTTTAGGTTTAATTATATTTAATTAACGAGCAATTAAATCTAAAACTGTTTTACTGTGATTTAACAGAGAGACTTTTTATTTTAAGTGAGTAACAACTAAAATACAGCACAAAATATTTGTAACTTGTCTATTCCAAGACATTACAAACTGGAAAAAAACAGACATAAGATGTGAAAAAAAAGAGGAAAAAAGACATGCATCTTAAAAACAATTGTATTTAACTATTTCAGTGCAGTAAATTTATTAAATAACAATAATCTTGTTTGAATGCTTTAAAAAGTATCAAATTTAATAGAATGATTTATCATTATCATATAACTTTATTACACAATAATTTACAGTTAGTTTTTAATTTAAAAAATGGATAAATCATATTAATAGACCAGAAAATAAAACTGTTAGTCAATATCCATTTTTCACTAAGGATTATTCATGTCATTTTATAAATTATTTTTTAAAGTTTTAAAAAATAGGAGACATTTTCCCATAAATAAGAACAGAAAGTTGACGTACCTGCATTCCACATAAACGAACACCAAGCCTAGCAGAAGTGCTAGCTGCACATTTAGCTATCTGGCTGCTAGCTTTATCGGGTGAAGCATCATCTCCGTGCATTCTGGTGCCCATTTTCAAATCAAGAATGCAAGGGTGGTGAAAATTCGATGCTATGTTCTCTAGCAACAAAAAATCTATCATTATGAATTAAGGGCAATTCACTTAAAATAGATTTTTATAAATCTATATTATAAATATTAAAAATATTTATTATAATAATGTTTTGATTTAAAAACATTTCATAAAATTTTACATTTAAAAAAAAAGTAAATTTTTAATTACATAAAAACTTCTTTAAAATAATTGTAGTTTATTATAATACAAGAATCTGATGAAGTGACTGCACATAGCAAAACACATGACATGTTACTCATAAAAGGATATATGAAAATGCCTTTAGAAGAAAGTATTGTACTGTTCATGTGTATTATTATTTTTACCTATTACAATACATCTTCGTTTGATTTTTATAGGTTTAATTTATCATTAATACTAATACTTTGCTAAGTAAGGTTGGCAAAAATCATTATTTTTCAAAAATTTAAAAAAAAAAATAAGAAGAAATCTGATTTCTTTGATTTGAATATGGTATTTTCTTATTCAAACCAGAGTTTACCAACCAAAGCATCTGATAAAATAAATATATTAACAATACTTAACTTTGTTAAAAAACAATATTAGCAAAAAACATTATTATTTCTGAATAATATGGTGAAAATTATCATTGAAAATTAAAAACTAGTCACAGAATAAATAAACTCCATATTTTTTTAAGCTCGAATCTCTAATAAATGCTAAAGATTGAGAGACAATTTGTCAAATAGATACACAATGAAGAGAAAACTGATTTAGATCAGAAAACATTACAGCAAAAAAAATATTTATTTTTTAAAAAGTTTTCTATGTAGAAGAAGTTCTTCGTTACTACTTTACACTAGTTACATATTTAAAAAGTTTTAAAGCACTTTTTTTTAAATAAATATAAAACTTAATGGGTATGATTGAGATATGTTAATCACCAGTAAATTATTTTACAAACAGCTAATGGAAAACTATAATTTTAAAGTTTGATGTCAATCTAAGTCACCTTTTCTTAAAAAATCCTTTGAATTACAATAATTGACATTCATCTTTTTATTTCTTATCAAAAAAGTTAAGTTTCATTTTTAAAGAAATCAGTCCCTTCACGGTTGATTTAAATCAATGATTTTTTTCTAAAAAATTATCAAGTGATTTAAATCACAACTTTAATTATGATTTAAATCATTATACCAAACCCTGCTGTTAAAATAAAACTGTAATAGTATAGAATAAATATCACAAGGTAAAATGTCAAAGTATAAGACATTAAAAGTAAAAATTTTTAGCCAAAAGTGTTATGCAGTTATGAAGCTAAAGATACGTATAATGGTATGTAATAAATTAGGCATGCATTTTTTTAAATATTTCTTTCCTTCATGAAATAGACAAGATTACATAGTCATTACTCCATAAAAAAAATTAAACAATATACATAAATAGGACTGAAAAAGAGATTGCTTAGCTTAATGAATAATTACTAACGATGCACCTAATAAACATGGATACTTTGTGCACAAAACTGCAATGCTAATGCATTCCATAATATTAAACTATTGGTATTTTGTGAAGCAAAATTATTAACAGGTGTCTGAAAGATTCATTTAATTTGTCATAATAGAAAATTTATTGGTTATAACCCATTTTAAAAAATACATTCAAAAAGATATTTCAATAAGAGTTTCAAAACAAATATTTTTGGGTGAGAACAGGGTGAGTAACCAAATTTTTCAACCAAAAATAAGCACTTTTAAGTACTTTGCAAGCACTCAGAAAATATTTTTAATCACTTTCCAAAAAGAAACAAAATCATAATTAGGATCTGTGCAATAATAAAAGTTATTTTTTCCATTGTTTAAAGTTCTTAATTTATAAACATAAAATCAATAAAATTCAAAAACATTTTCAAAAACTTTACTTTATCATAATAAAATAACTAGTTTTTGATAAATAGTGTTTTTTTTTGTAATTTAGAACAACAATTGACATATCAAAGGAAAAAGATCTAAAGCACTTTTCTTTTAAGTAAGATTTCTAACACATTTTTTACAAACCCTGAATTTAAAAAAAAACACGTTTAAAGGCTTTTAAAAAACGTAAATAAAAAATAAGCACCTTTGAGCACTTTTCAAAAACGCTTATGCACCCTGGAGAGAGTTAGTGACATAAGCAAAAAAGTAATTTATTTATATAATTTTTTTTTAATTGAATGTGTTTAGATTTTGTAGAAATAATTGGTTTTGTGATGAGAGACAAAGATGATCGCAAAAGCATTCATGAGACAATTAACAGAGGGTTTTTGTTCCCCTAATTGTTTAATATAGGAAATGGGTCAAATTTAATTTCACTTGAAACTACATGAAATACATGTGAATTTCCCATCAAAGAAAGAAAACACTTCTTTTTTTCAAAATAGTGACTCAAGATAAAGTTCTTTTACCAAACTAAAGAATTTCACATTAATGAATAACCAATATTTAAACATTAAGAAAATAATACCTATCTACAATAACTCTTCAAACACTAAACATGTTTGATTGAATTGTCATTAAAAATATCAATAAGTACTAAATATTATCATCATCATATATAACATAGCCAATATGAACTACATCAAAATTACGTAAAGCATAATGGTGATGTTACTCATTTCACCAGTTACCTCAATATATACTGGTGGTGAAACATATTCTGGTAATAAATACATTGATAATGCACATTTTATCAGCATTATGTAATTATCAGATAAATTTTTTAAAAGAATAAAAAATATTGACACAAAAAGGTCACTAGAAAATACAGATAAAAAAGGAGAGGGAAGCATTAAATCTTAGAGTTATCACTTGGTTATTTTTCCAAAATTTTCCCTCAGAGAGACTAAACAACTCGATAGAAAAAAAGGACACCTATATCTTGTTATCAATAACTATTTTTAAGTTTAATAAAATGTTGCTATGTATGAATTGTATTAAATAATTAATATTTTTATCTATAGTATTCTTCTGAGTAAAGTTATGGATAACAAATAAAATAATTTATCTCTTCCAATTTAACACGATTAACTTAAAAATATATTACTAAAATTAACAGCTTGTATTCAACATAATTTTACATTATGTAATTTTACTTGCACATAGCAACAAAAAAAGGCTAAAAATTACAGTTCTATATTTAATTGAACAAAAACTATCAATGCAACACGTAAAAAGTCAATGTGCAACTGCATATTCATGTAATTACACAAATGAGATTGCAAAAAGAAAGAAAAAAGAAAGCATATGGAACATATTTAAGAAGATGCATAAGAAAAATAAGTAAAAAAGATATTTTGCTTTGTGAACCTGTGACGGTTTAATAATCAAATCTCAATGATTCCTTAGTTGTCCTCGCGAAGGACTGCGGATTAATAGGAAGGTCGATTAATAGGATATTAAAAGGATCTAACAGACGAGCTACAGTTTCAATTTGTAATGAAAAACATTTTGCATCCTGTACTCTCATCCTGTTCATCTCATCCTGTACTTATACACTGAGGAAGGGTTTTCATTATAGAACCAAAAATTTTGCAATATTTGTGTATGAGAAAGCATTAATTGTGCAATTGATTGAATTGAAAGCATTTTTTCACATATTCAATGGAATATTGTAACATTAGTTTCAAGTGAATGATAAAACTACAACAGAAAAGTAAACATGAAAGATATATAGCAAATCAGTTCGCAGAAGCCTTTGTTTAATTGAAAAAAACTTTACAAAAATTAATTGCTAAACGATCTACTAATAAGCAACATAGACAAATCCCAGTAGCTGACCTCCATTTTTAAAGATGTATTCATACAGTCTATGTGAAGCGAAACTACTTTTTTGACTAAAGAAAAACAAGTGAATAAAGCACAAATAAAGGTTGTGCTTTACTTACATTGTTCTTTTTTATTCATACAAGACAAAAAGTATATTATATCCTCACTTGTTTGATTAGTTATTATTCATTTAGAAAAACACTGAATAGAAAATTTCCTAGCAAACCTGCTTTTTTTTTAAACATTATAAGGGAGATAACGAATAATTGGAAAATGATAAAAACAAATGGCAAAAATTTAGAGGGAAATTGTAAAACACAAAATCACATTTACACAAGAAAATAATTCCTTCACATACATTTCATAATAAATCAAATAAAAAGACAAAAAATGAAAATGCAAGATGGAAGATTGGAGGAACTACAGAATCTGTAAGGCAAAAGAATGTCATTTGAAGTTTACTATAAATCTCTTTCTATAAATTTCAACTTAATACTTTTTTAAAAATCTTTTTCAGTGTGCATACTGTTCAGTTATATAAAATAATAAAACTGGCATTTTTAAAAAAAAATTTATATATGTGTTTTTTCCCCTAAACTCCAAATAAATTTAAAATAAAATTGAAATTATTATAAACTTAAAGAAACAGTAAATCAATGTTCAATAAAAAGAAAGGATACATCTAGAATTAGAGCCATTAAGATGACGTTCTTTGACCAATTTTTTATCACTGCAGGAATTTATTTTCACTCTGAAAAATATTAAACAAAATAATTAGAACTAGTAATTATTAGACTACAACTATTATTTACAACAATAATTGAACTACAACTAATAATTAGAACAATTAATAAGTAAGAGTTAATAATTTAACTCTTCAACACTAACCATGGGTATTAATTTAGGTAATAATTTCTAAGAAATATAAACAAAACTAATTTTATAATGCTCACTTAAAAAGAAATCAATTGGTTTAAAAATAATTTTGTACAATTTTATCAAACAAGCAACGATTTTTCATAGCCTGAATACTTTCAGATACTTTACTCTATATGATTATGAGTTACAGTTAGATACCTTAAAGGGTGAAAAATAATAAATAATCAATAAATCAGTAATATATATAATCATAATATAATTATAACAGACAATTATTCCATATAATTATGTTTTCCATATAATATGCATAATTATGTTGCACAGAAATAATTATATATATTATAATCAGGGTTGGCAAGTTTTTGACACATGACCAGTTTTTACCGTCATGTCAAAAACCCATAGTTTTGGTAAAATAATTTTGAGTATTTAATAAAATAATTTATAAGTATTTGGTAAAATAATTTTGAATCTTCTCAAATTTTGGACTCATTCATACTGAACTGAGAAATCGACTGGGCAATGAAAAATGCGCAAAATTAGTCACTTGCTATCGTATGCTTTGGCACAGTGACCCCCGACTACTGAACATGTAATTTTGTTTGTAATTAAGTTTTGTTTAATGTGCTTTTGTAACTAAATAAAAGTTTTTAACTTTACAAAATAGCAGTAATTCTTGACTTACAGTTTGTTAGTAGTTACAAGTTTTGTTTAGCTTATTTCTATATTTAAGAAATGCCGAATTTTAAATTCCTTTTAGTTCTTGAATTTATTAATAGTTCCAAGCTTTTTTGTTTGCTTGCTTATTTCTAACAATTAAGAAGTGCAAAATTTTGAATCCTTTGCAAATCAAGCTATTATGATAAAAGTAAGTATCACTATTTTCAATAAGTATATTACAATATTTCTATATGAATGTATATCCTTCTATAAGAATACATGTATATAGTTGCAAAATCAATAGCAATCATTTACAACATTCATTTATAAAGGCAATTATGTGAAAATGATATATAATCTGCTATATGCCATAAATTAAAGAAAACAGTAGGTTTTTGACAGTTTTTACCAGTAAAAACACGGTTTTTACCACTGTCATGGCAAAAACCCAACCCTGATTATAATTATTCCTGCGCAACAATAAATCAGTAATATATATATAATCATAATATAATTATAATACAGATAATTATTCCATATAATTATGTTTTCCATATAATATGCATAATTATGTTGTACAGAAATAATTACATATATTATAATTATTCCTGTGCAAGGCTCAGTTATTAATAAAATTCAGATATTTCAATAAATGTTATTAATTATAAAGATACACAAAAGACACACAAGTAGCGAGTCATATATGCAAAAAAAATTGCAGTGAAATAGATAAAACTCTTAAAAGCTGTCATTATGACTTTTCCAAATTGTCATTCAGGTGAAATTATCCTGTATAATTAATGGTCATTTTTAAAATTGCAAAACAAAATTTTTTTCGAAGCTTGTGTGAAAATTACCTCATTTCAGAACTTCTGCAACTTAGTGTTCTTTCCTCTCTTCTGCGACTTTTTACAGGGTGATACACCGTTGTTTTATCATCCATTTCATGCACTTGAATAACACCTAAAAACAAAGTAATAAAAATTAAGTTAACTAGGCATTGCAGCAAATACTATTTCAGGATTGATATAAAGTGTCAATGGCTATTTATAGAGCTGAGGTGAATCAACTTCTCGCACAGATGGCAAAACAGAATTGTAAAATATTATAATCAAATTATAATATTTAACAATTCTATTTTACATTTCTTCTCTATTATAATCTAATCTGTCAACATATTGCAAAATCAAACCTGGCAACACCCATACTAGAATAATCAAAACAAGCCTTCCAGCTTGCCTGCCAGTGTCGACATGATGTAAATTTTTTCTACCGCTTTATGATATATCATTGCCTTTTTTTTCCAAGTCTGTCTTACAACTTGATATAGCATTAGCAACATGCAACTTATCCTTTTTTTATTTTTGATATTATTAAATATGTTGATTGCTAATTATCACAATTTAATTAATAATTTCCATTGGATTAACTTAATCACCACACATTTCTAACTCCTTAAATCAACAATGTTTCAATGATGAACATTCTCTTCAAAAAATGTTTATTTCTAAAAATGTTTATTTCAACAGCTTTGAACACCACCCTTCATAGAATTGTCATTTTTGATAAGGTCTCTTTCTTATTACAACTGTTGAAGACAATATTAATAGCTTTGATTTGAAAATTACTTTAAAAGCCAAAATATTTGTAAAAAATAATTCGCATAAATATTTACTTAATACTCTATTGAAAGAAACATGTCAAAATTCCACAAAATTTCCCCCACATTATTTACAAGAACTATGTATTTAGTACTCCAAACATAAATTAGTACTATTGCAGGGTAAATTTACTACCGTATAGCAGTACATTCACACATTCAACTTTAGGAAAAATGGTAGTTTCACAATTAAAAAAGCAGATTTTCATGCAAACCCCGTTCTCATTGCAATATACGGAAATTTTAAAAGAGTAGCTTTTCTGAAAGCTGCCTGAAGCTCTCTCTCTATAAACTTAACAGGAAGTCTAAATTCAAACATTATCTTAAATACTATTGTAAATTTATTCTAACAGACCTTTATTTTTTTTATGAACCATTTTTTTCTCTGTAAAATTTGTTTCTGTATGACCCAGTTGAAAATGTTCTTATAATTAAAATAACTTTTAGTACTTGTACTGCTAAATGCATGTTTTTATCAAATTCAAGTTGAAATTTAACTATGGACAATGATTTTTACGGATTTTGAAATTTGGATAAAAGTTTTAGCCCAAAATTTCACAATAGCAAAATTGTTTTTGAATATGTGGGGAAAAATATATAGAAATTCACCAGTCAAAAATTATTTTTATTTGTAGTGAAAATTTTTGAAAATATTTTCTTACCTTACCATCTTCTTGTGTTAATTTATTAGAATAATTTTTACAAAATTGATAAGTTTTCACAAAATAAGTACCTCTTAAAAAACCAAGACCAATTCAAAAATTAAAATTTGGCTTTTATGAATTAGAGGTAGGTACTTTATTTACGTCACACTAGAGCTACACAATGGACTATTGGCGACGGTCTGGGAAACATCATTGAGGTGTTTAGAGGATTTTATAGTTGCATTAGTGTCAGCAACAACTTGAAAAATCAGTCACCAATGCATTATCTCAACTAAATAAATATATAAAAAATCACCTTTATATTTTGGAATGAAGCTCCTCATGGTACGAGGGACATTCAAATAAAAATGTAACTCTCTCAGAATAAGAGGTTTGCAGAGAGTACTCCTGTCGAGCATGAGTAGTTGTGTGTGTCCTCCAACTTGCTGCGTATAAGGGTGGAGGACAGTAGTCGCTTTCGCCTTCTCCAGCGATGATGCTGCCATTTCGCCATGACTTTCCATGTTATTGGTCGCTGCATCCGTGTACACCATGACCTTTGGCGCGGAACATGTAGAAGGTGGGTACGATGATTCTGTTTGTCCTGCACTTGCCCTGAAGGCAGCAGGACAGCAGGCTTTTCGTCGTGCACTTTTGTGGCCAAGTTTAGCACAGCAACAGACCTGCAAATAGTCTATGGTTAGTTTTAACACACATATTTAGGAGAATACAGAGAATTCTACAAACGAAAAAACTAATTTCATTATCTATCAATCATAATAGAATCTGCCATGTATCAAATTGCCACTGCTTTGTTTTTGTAAGTGGATAAACTTAAAAATATAGGTGTCCTTACCAACGACTGGAACAAAAGCCCATAGCTTAAGATGTCTGATGAACATCATCATAGGGTATGGATCTATTACTCACACATTTCTGGTGGCCCCCTAAATGCTGAACATTTTTGTTGCGTGTGCCTGCGTTTTCCCCCCTTTAGAATTCTCAATTAGAATCAGAAATTGTTTGGTTAGTATAAACCAAGGCAGTTTAAGCTATAGGTTATACAAAACGGTAATTTTTCTAAAAAAAATTTTTTTGCATTAGTTTTAAAATGCATTAGTTTTTAGGGTACTCAAAATGTGTTAAAATCAGCTAAAATTATTGCAATATTAAAAATACAAATTTTTTATGTATGTAAAATTTTTGTAGCTCGATTTTAAACAGTATAACATGTTTGAAAGGAAAGCACAATAAGTTTGGGAGTTATATGAATTAAAAAGAACTGTCATCAGAACATATACAGGAAATAGAATAACTAAAAAAAAAAATAGAAATAATAACAACAGAATAATAACAATATCTTGAATAACAAAAAATTCTCCCACATAGAATGTGCATAAACAAAGTACAAAAATGAAAAAAGGTTATAACTGCTGTATTTTATCTTCTATTTATTTTAATTTTTTTTTTTTTCGCAGAACAAAAACTTGGTTATTTAATCCTAGAAAACAAATTAAATTAAAAAATAAATAGATTTTTAACTTTAATTAGTTTATACATACAATTTTAACTGGTTTATGCAAACAGAATGAATGTTTTGAATATTTTAATAATTTTTGCAAGCTACGGAATTTTAAATACTCAACTCTAAATAAAATATAATAAACAATGTAGTTACCTTTACGTAACTTATTCCCTGCAGGTAACATCATTGATAGCATATATTGTTTATATTAAAAAATTAAATAAAATTAACTATTTCCCACTTATAATAATGACGAACAACATCACATAACTATTGCGTGCAGAAGACGAAAGCGAACTAACTCAACAGGAACTATCGATGTGAAACAAGACTATTTCAGCGCTGTTGCCATTCCATATTTATAAATTTTAAAGAAAGGTCAGTTCTCTGAGACGTAACTTAAAACTGAAAAGTTCAATCGGTTTCTCTTTTTGTTATAAATAAACGATTTCGTGTAGTATGCAACTGTTTTGAAAACAAAGTTTTCATTTTAAAACATATTTTTAAACGCTGCTTCCACAATATTCTTTTATCACTTTTTCATCAGAATAAAAATTCCTGTAAAATACATATTAAAAATTGAGAATTTTATAGGTACATTTAAAGTAAAACAATCAAACCACATTCGATTGGAATGTTTCATAAATTGGAAAAAATCGTTAATTATATTTTATTATTCTTTCGATTTAAATTTTTTTTNATTTTTAAAAATGCTGAAGTTTTTAGGGTACACAAAATGTTAAATCTGTCAAAATTATAGCAATATTAAAAACACAAATTTTTTATGTATGTGAAATATTTGTAGTTCGATTTTAAACAGTATAACATGTTTAAAAGAAATGCAAAATAAGTTTGGGAGTTATATGAATTAAAAAGAACTGTCATCAGAACATATACAGGAAATAGAAAAACAAAAGAATAACAGCATCTTGAATAACAAAAAATTCTCCCAAATTGAATGTGCATAAACAAAGTACAAAAATGAAAAAAGGTTGTAACTTCTGCATTTTAATGCTTATTTAAACTTTTATTTATTTTAATTTTTTTTTTGCAGAACAAAAACTTGGTTATTTAATACTAGAACACAAAAATAAATAGATTTTTAACTTTAATTAGTTTAAACATACAATTTTAACTGGTTTATGCAAACAGAATGAATGTTATGAATATTTTAATAATTTTTACAAGCTACGGAATTTTAAATATTCAACTCTATATAAAATATAAAAAACAATGTAGTTACCTTTACGCAATTTATTCCCTGCAGGTAACATCACTGATAGCATATTTTGTTTATATTTAAAAATGAAATAAAATTAACTATTCCCCACTTATAATAAAGACTAACAACATCACATAACTATTGCGTTCAGAAGACGAAAGCGAACTAACTGAACAGGAACTATCAATGTGAAACAAGACTATTTCAGCGCTGTTGCCATTCCATATTTATAAATTTTTAAGACAGGTCAGTTCTCCGAGACGTAACGTAAAACTGAAAAGTTCAATCGGTTTCTCTTTCGTGTAGTATTCAAGTGTTTTGAAAACAAACTTTTTATTTTGATGCATAATATTTTTAAACGTTGTTGCCACAATATTCTTTTATCATATTTTCATCAAAATAAAAATTCCTGTAAAATACGTATTTAAAAATTGAGAATTTTATAGGTGCATTTAAAGTAAAACAATCGAGCCACATTCGATGGGAATGTTTCATAAGTTGGAAAAAATCTTAAATTGTATTTTATTATTCTTTCGATTTCAATTTTTTTTTTTTATTGTAGTTAATTTTCTGAAGAAAAAAAATATTTAAATATTGATTTACGTGAAAATTATGAATTGAAACAATCGAAAAATTAACCGTTGAATGATTTACAACCGTTTATGATTACTTCTTACTTCTCAAAAGTTGAAAACATTCGGAGCGGGATCCAAGAGCCCCGATTCATGGGACAGACCCATTGTGTGCATGATTGTTATATCTTAAAAAAAAGACGGAAAAAATTTTAGTAGGGGCAAAAAACCCTATTTGAAGTATGCACTAATTAAAATTAGCTGATTTTTTTAATATTTTTAGTTCATTGATATTTTTACTTTCTTCATGTTCTATTTGTCATTATTTCCCAACAAAAGCTTCATTATTTTATGCAGTAGTAAATTTATAAATATTACTTGAGAGCAGGATGATCGAATTTTGGGGGGGGGGGGAAATGATNGGGGGGGGGGGGAAATGATGTACATTTTAGTTAAATTTCTGAAATATAGTAATTATAATTTGTACGTAGTGCCATGACTCTTACAAAAACCTTATGATTCACCTCTGATTATTAGAAAAAACTCATACAAAAAATTTATATAAAAAATTTATATAAAAAATTCATATAAAAGAGATATAAGGGAAAACAATTGTTCTGCTGTGCAAATGAAAAATCAACGTTTAAGTGTGAAAAAATTGCACTTAATGTTGTTTTCCCAATTGCACGGCAATATTATCACAATTTAAAATTATGTGAGATTACAATAAAAAAAATCCTTACAAATGCATGAATGCAAAGAAATTAATTAATTTAACCAATTCAGAGTCAACTATCATTTTTCCTCTGGAGAGGGGTAAACTATATATATTCCGGGAAAAAAACTTTCTTAAATACAAAGTATAAAACGAAACTAAATAATATTTTAATAAACATTTAATTAATAGTATCGCTAGATCAACCTTTTAAATTGACCGTGGGTGTAGTGAAGAGATACACGTCATAATTCTCCACAATTTTTTATTTATTTATTTAATTTTTTTTTTTAAATATGAGTAACACTCAACATTTTTTAATAAAATAATTAAAATAGGAACAAGTTGATAAAAAATGATTTTAAGAAAAGGTGTGATTTAACACATGCGTTACAAATGGTGAACCTGAATTTTCTAATTTCCGGAAACAGAAACCTCAATATAAAGATCGATCAAAGTGAACAAGAAAAAGAAAGAAAGAAAGAAAAAAGAAAAAAAACTGATATTTACAGTTATTTCCATGCAACAATGAATTACTTCAAAACTAAATCTGATGTAATTTACATACTAAAGAATAAATGTATACAAAAAAAAACAACAAAAAAATAAGAAGAAAACGTAATGCATCATAATCTGAAAAGAAAACCATCAACATAAAAATAAATAAAAAAAATAAGAAATGAATTTATTATTTATTAAAATAACTGGTCATTCAAAAGAACTGACCACTTTGATCAGCCAACGTACAACTTTAGTCAGCCTGAGGGTGCTCTGTATAGGTCCACGTTAAACTGTTCTACCGTAAAATGCTCGACTTCGCGTGCAGGTAGTCGGGCTACCAAAGCGAAAGAGCCATCGCCTCTGCAGTGGATCAAAATTGCGATGGTATGTTTCCCAGACAGTCGCCAATAGCCCATTGTACAGTTCTAGTGCGACGTAAATAAAATACCTACTTTGCATTGTCCATAAAAACTAACTAAATATTTATTTTGTGGCCGTGCAAATATTGCGAAAGTCCTCTAAAAAAGATTGTTGCGGCTTTCTGTCCAGCATTGTGTCCTTAGTGTCCAGCACAATAATGTCGCAAAAAAGATATAAATTGGTTGTAAAGCATTTTTTAATTAACATATATCTTGGCTAAGCAAAATATTATTAACATATTTGTCCCAAGAAATACAATATTTTCCTCGTCCCCGTTATTGTTGAAAATATTCTAGATAGTCCAAATTTTTTTTTTTTTTTTAAGCATAATAATTCTCTAAATAACTTCTTTCGTTATTACCTTTTTCTTGTGTTTCCATTACTTTTAATTTAAGTTTCTGTGGCGATATCTTTCGAATTCAAAAAAAAAAAAAGTTTCAAAATTTAGCTATTGCACAAGAAAATCAAAGACTATTACAACAGGCACTACTTATTAGATTGGCCCCCGTTCAGACATTTTCATAAAATGTTCTCAAAAAGTGATAAAATAAAAATTTATAAAATAAACTAAAGATAACTGACTACTGATTACCTTTCCCGCTCAGAAGTTGCATAATAGAGTTTCCTTTTAAATGTCTAACCGCAAAAGAAACTGGCTAATGACGTCACAAACCAATTCACGGAATTCTAACACAAAGCAATAACATACACTAATAAAACCAAAAATT